AAGTAAAGAAGAGCGAAGGAAGATGAAAAACCTGTGGTTTCGGTGCTAACGAAGGTGGCTCTACAGACGGCAAAAAGGAGAAAATGAAAAGAGTGAGAAGACTTAGAGGTTTGATTAGAGAAAAAGTAAAGTTTGATTCAATGAAGGTGCGAGTATTTATAGGCTCACGACGACAGTTCGGTGGCGCTAGTGGTCGACCGCTAACTAACGGGCATTAATGATTTGGGGAACTGAACCGACGGGACGTTTCGGTCACATCCATCACTTACGTCATGAGGACGACGGCATGATCGAGGTTTCGGAAAATCGAGGCTCAAACCGTTTCTTATCATTTTATTCCAAGAAACGCGGGGACTATCTGTATATGGTCGAGATCGGGCATGTCCGATTTCATAGGCACGAGGAGCTGCCTCGAGAGTAAGCTCTAATAGACCAGGCTCGAGCTCAATGGCAGAGTATGGAGCATGAAGATTGAAGTGCTCGCTGAAGATCGAGACTGAGCATGACCGACTTCGAGTAAGGCATAATAACGGAATGGCGAGATATTAGCAACCGACCGAAGATCTCGGTGGAAATCCCAGAACAGATCGAATCAAGCAGTTATTGACGCCAATCATGGGATTTGTTTCCGTTATTAGAATTGTACCTTAGTTAGGATTCATCTACTATATAAAGAGGGACCCCATTTATTTGTAAGGGAGAATGATTCAGTGATAAACATATACACATACACTGCTTTCTCTATTTCACTTACTATTTATTACTGCTCATCACTGATTATTTTCTGTTCTTTATTGTTCTTGTTACCCAACCTCGAGACCATCTCGAATCGAAGCCGAAAGAAGTACTGCTAGAACACTGATTTGATTTATTTTACTATTCAGATTATCTATTTAATTCCTTGTTTATCAATTAGTATTGGATTAAATCACGTATCATTGAAACCACTAAATAAGTTTAATTGTTACTCGAAATTCTGGGTAAACAATTTCTCTTGTAATATTTCCATTATATGTTGTATTTTTGTTTTATCATATTGACCATTTTGCATTCGGATTTTGTATTACTCCTCTTTTGTACTATCTTTCTTCTATTTCTCTACCTGTAATTTATTGAATAGTTTATATATATATATATATATATATTGTATGTCTTGGGCACTACTTATTGAATTTATATACATAAATGGAAGAGTATTTTGTAGCTTTTTGGAATTGGAACTGTTGATAGGCCAAAAAAATGAACAGATGCATGCATATGTAGGTGTACAAAGACAAGCCTACTACAAGCACTACATGTTCTCTTGCCAGAAAATGTTGCTTCACTTGTAGATTTGTGCCTTTCAAAGACTTTGTTTGTATAAATAAATGCATTTTCTTTCCTTCTTGTTTTTTTTTTTTTTTT